AATGCCCCTATGCTTTGCTTGAGCTGGAGCCCTGCTGTTCATTGTTTGCCAAAAGCAAAGTTGTCATGTTTAATGTGCACCCTGGGACATCAATACCATTTCATATATAGAGAGGCAGAAACCTGTTTGCTGTAATCTATGAGACCTCCTGGAGTCTTGAAACCAAGTGAGTTTACACTCCAAAACTTTTGTAGCACACCCAGCAATTAAAGGAGGGTAGAGCCTTTGTTTTGTATGTTGTGTCTGGGCTTAGGATGCAGAAAAGCAGGAAGGTAAGGCTAACGGGAGATCTTACAGTAGACACACCTTCCTGACATGGCCACTCTGAGAGGCAGTGTTCTGCTTTTCAAGTCTTGTTTTCTTACTTTCCTTGTGTCAGGGAGAGTTAAGGCTTGTATTTTATGGTTTTAGCATTAAAACTGTAACTTGCAGCCCGAGTGTATCTTAAATCATTCAAATGAAGAAATAAACAAGAATAAATCTAAACAGACACAATAAAGATAACCAGCAATCCATGTAATCCGAGGAGACTTATAATAAATACCTGATGACTACCCACTGAAGGGGAGAAAGGATTTAGGAATGCAAAGACAATACTTGAGAGGGTTGGGAACATAGGAAGTGCTATATAAAACCGGCAGAAAGACATCCCAAGGTAGTATATACACACCTGAACTTCACATTGAGCAATATGGGTTTTATTTTGATAATTCTTTTCCTTCTATGTCAGGTAATGTCTGGGAGGACTTCTCTCTCTTGAGACCACCTCCTTCTTGAGCTAGCCATGACTAGACCCTCCCTATGGCTCAATCAGGCTGTATCTTCCAAACAGAGTCAGGTCTGAGGAAGGGGACAGCCGAAGGTGACATTAACTAAGTGGAGGGTTGGTTTATCTTCTAAACTAGCAATCATGAATCTAGGGCCAATGTTAAGAATATCATACTTCAAAATCTATGTGAAAGTATACATTAGAAGAAAAAGTAGAACTTTGTTGCTTTTGCCTTCTATTTCTTTTGTGGCAACTTTTTATGGCATTTGTATGTATGGGCAAAGGGAATTACAGGTATCTTAGAATTAAAATGACATTATTTTTAGTGCCTAGGGCCTATAAAGATTATGATCTGGTCATGATTGGATGTTCATTTGGCCTACTCTTTCATCTTCTCAATTGCTTTCCATCTAATCTTTTGGAGGTAGGAGTCTGAAAAATAGTAGTGTAAATAACCCAGGCAGGGGGACTTGGGGGAGTTGGGGTCAGGCTCAGTCTAAAAGGATCACTACTTATCTCCAGCTACTTGTAATTATGAAGAAAGGCAAGCTCAATGGTGTGAAGTCCATTTTTCAAAAGAAGATGGAAATCCATGTTTTAAAGATGTGAAATGCCAGTTCTCAGACACTTAAAAATATGGGGGAGCCAGCTACAAGTAGCTCAGGTCTATAATCCAATCTATTTAGGAGGCTGAGATCTGTGGATTATGGTGTGAAGACCATAGGTAGGAAAGACTATGAGACACTCATCTCCATTCAATAAACTACTCAAAACAAAAACAAAAGCAAAAACAAAAAAAGCTGGAAGTGGAGCTGTAGCTTATGTAGTGGAGAGCTACCCTTGAGTAAATGCAGTTCTGGGATAATGGCTAGGCCCTGAGTTCAAGCCCTAGGACTCACAAACAGATACAAACACAGACACACACACACATACACACACACACACAAAACAGACACAGACAAACATAAACACATAGACACTGACACACACACAGGCACACACACACTGGGAAGTTCATCAAACATATTGCTGAGACCTCATCTTGGGCTTCTTTGATTCTAGAGAATCGATTGGCCTCAGAAAATGCACACTCCAGATCATTATTTGTTTTGAGAGGCTCAGTTGACAGTTTCATATTGGAAACAAGTATCCTCTTCCATTTTACATGTATTTATTTGTATCAGGTTCTGTATTAAGGTTGGAAAATATGACCACTATTAAAATCACAGTTCTTGACTCACATATTGTTATGAGGGGATAAAAAAGCATTTTAGAATATTCTAGAAGAGGAAACTCATCTGTCTGTTTAGAAACTCCTTACTTTAGTAAACTTGAGGTATTATGCTAGTATAAGTGCATTGGATTCGATTTGAGTTTATCCTTCTATCTCCTGCAATTTTTTAAGTTCTTGCTCAGTAGTGCACAAATGCAATAAAATTATATTTCAGCAGTTTTAAATTTTGAGCTTGTTTTTAATTATGTTTCATTATTTGGTATCTTCTATGACATTATTATTAATTTGGAATTTGGATTTTGTTTAAAGAGAAGTCTGATCATTGTCCCTAGTTCCTGCTAGGTAAACTCCCTTGCTGTCTGTGGTGAACTCTTCAGGCTATACCTGCTATGGTTTATGCTAAGATGGTCAGGATGGGGCCATACACACTAGCTTAGAGTGAGGGCTACCTTTATCAGAAATATCAATCAAGTAACTAGAGGATTGGGCCTTTGAGCAATGTTTTATTAATCCGATCTACGGCAAAAAAGGAAGACTAAAGATTCATGTGGGCAATGATTCAGTTACTCATGTCCATGTCATAAACCCCAATAAACACCCTAGATCCCACATTTGAATGAGCCTTTCTGGTTAGCAATATAGATAGGGTAGGTCATTGCTCTAGGGTAACCTGAGGATAAGGAAAGCTTCACATTTGAAATTTCTTTGGAATTTGTCCTAGATAGGTCTTCTTTGAGCTGGTTTTCACTGTAACAAAATTATAATCGTAATACTTCTCTGGCTTCTAAAGAATGCTGTGATTACCACACAGTTCTCCACTGGCCCTGGACTGCCCCAACTCTCCCTTTTCTTGTTTGTAATTCTCAGGAACAACTGTAGAATATTCTGAGACTGTACCATTCTAGATAAGAAGGGAAACAACCTGGGCTCTGTACCAGTCACCAGTATAAACAGAATGATTCAATTGTATAGCCCAGTGATACTTATTACTCTGGTCTGTAAATCTCACAATGGACCAATTTTGGGGGTTCCTCAGTTATGATGCATGAAAGTTGGGATACTATTTGTTCTGAGAAATTATTCTGAGCCTTAGAGGACCAGCTCTCAATGAATCTTAAGCTTCTGTTGTCCTTTGCTGCCTACCTGCAAATAACAAACTGTCTTCATGTAGCTTGCATATATGGATAGTCTGTCTCACTGGACTCAAAAAGTTGGTAACCAGGCACAGTGAGCCAAGGACCTCCACATCACAGCGGGTGTGTAGTATGAGTGCAATGGCAGCTTCTTTCCTGAGAGTTCACAGGAACTTTTAGTTGCTCTCAGGAACTCAGGCAGATGTTGGGATCCGAAGAACTGGAGGACCTCAAATTAAGCTAACTCTAAACAATGGCACATTTTAAAAGTTATAAACTATTAAATACAACACAGAGATAAAGTCTGTGCTTAGAAGAACTTAAAAATCCTGGGGATCCAACAAAGACATGTAGATATAAAAGTGCATTAGTTAGAGTATCCTATGGGAAAGCCACGCCAGATATTCATTGGAGGCCAGGAGGTTTGGGACATAAGGCAATATTAAGTTTACATGTATTAAGAAATGTATAGTGTTTTCAGTTCTCTAGGTTTTCAGTTTCCAGACTCTGTTCAGAAGGGAATGTAGCTGGAGGGCTGAACGGGTAACAGAGAATCTCTGAATCAGGTGACAAGGAGAGAGGAACAGGGTTACGAAGAGGAACATAGTAGCATGCTGGCTGATTGTGGTCAGATTTTATTCCTGGGATTGGGAAATACGTCTTTGTTCTGTATTGCTTTCCCTTGTAGCGAGAGCCTTCATCAGATATCCAGCCTGACTCTTCTTGACTGACTGAGGAAGCCTCTCATGGGTTCCTGTCAGGTTCTCATGGACACTGCTTGAATACTTACTGTGTGAGGGAGCTTACTCTCTACCATTTCATCTTGGAGCAGTTTTAATTATTATGAGTTCCTTTCATTTGTTAGACTGACTTTTTTTTTTTAGTGTAGACTGACCTTTATTTATCCTTGAGATGTCTGTTCATCAGATTTGTTTTTACTTTGGGGAAACAGTCTATTAACATGATAGACCAAGTTGATGATAACAAACATTTATGCAGTATGTCATATGATCCAGATATAATACTGAGAGCTTTAGCACCTTATCTACTTCTCAAAGTCACTCCAGAGAAAGGACTATTGTCTTGTAGTTGAGGAAATTGAGGTATAGAAGAGAAGTCTCTTACTGGAATGAGGAGGTAGGCAGAGATACTAGAATAAACAGCTCCAAGACTTTATTTATTCAAAACTTACATAAATGTCAGTTTCACTGTACATTAGGTATTAGTTATGATAGATCTTTTACAGTAAGTGTTTTATAGCTGTCATTTTAATATATTCTCTTAAATCTAGTTTTGGTATATTCCTTGTGTATCAATAACTATTGCTACTTTAGGCTTTCATTCTGGATATATACACGTATGTATATAGTCATAGAAAGGCTTCTCCAGAGCTAGTTGAAGTTGACTTCCTGAATATCTTCTCATTGTAGTCCCTTAATTCAATTAGTAAGACATTTTATTTCAGCACTGAACCTGATTTTACATCTACTTATCCCTCCCCATGTTTTGCCTTTTTCTTTTCTTTTTTTTCTTTTTTGGCTGCAAATAAACAAAATGGTGCAGTCCCAAATCATCTCTTGATATGTATCTTCTGATGTGCTGTATATCTACCCTTGAGCTGCCTCTCAGAGAGAACAACTTTCCAATGCCATATTTGAAATAAAAAGAATCCAATCCATTTTAAGAAAGAAGTAATGTACCTCTCCTAATGTGATTTATGATGAAATATTGGAGACACTTGTATATGGTGAGACCTTTTAAAAGAGAATAGCAAGAAACAAACTGACTTCAACATTTTTCATTTGACACTCCTAAGACATTTCCAAATGAGCCGAAGTATGGAAATAAAGTGAATTTAACTTACAGGCTGTCCAGGCTCATCTCCCCCGAGGATGCGGAAGCCAAATCCAGACTCCATCCTTCGAAGATGAACATCCAATTCCTTATAATCTGGACCTGGCATAAAGAAGATCCCATTGAGTAATGAATCCTGCCTCTTTCCCAGCCCTGAGTAACTGAACACACTGATGATAAATTAATTTTGTGGAAGTGAGTAATGGGAATGCTGTTAGAGTCAATGAAGAACAGGCAGGCTGTGATAACATGGTAGCAAAGAAAGAAGTGGTGCTTCCAAAGTCAGTTGGTCAGTGGAATAACAGTGGGCAACCAAGGACATTCCTAGGGTATTCACATAGGCAGGAAGAACACATGAATATTCTGAGTGAATATATCGATGCGTCTATAATTTTTTAATTTCCTCGAGAGCTTTCAGAATGCTTCAAGAATCTTGGCTGTGACTTTGAGCTATTTACTTTTGATTACTCCAGAAGTGAGAAAGAACAGATGCCAAAACTTGGAATTACCTACTAAAGTACTACCTAATAATTAAGCAGTATCTGTGTATGGCTTGATAGATCCAGTATAGAGACAGGGCTGTGTATTAGTGAGTGTGTACAGATTATCAACTTGTCCCTAATAGATGTCTCTGTTGAAACAGTAAAAATTAGAAAATATAGATTTTAAACTTTTCTTAGTTAGGATTTAAGTGAAGTGTTTGTGTTCTCACAAACTCCCTCAGTTAATTCACAACTTTTGGGTAGAAATTCACCTGGGCTAAGACGAACTCACAGCCCAAACATTCTTGAAATGTGGAAGCTACTATAGATAATAACTTCATTAGTGCACTCAAAAATAAAGGAGAGCATAGATACTTTTCTAAAATCAGCTAAATGAACTGAAATGTACCTATAACTAAGAAACATTCCTGAATTGGATTTCCTTTAGCTCTAGAATAAACTGAACCGTCAAGAAATTTTTTGACTTTCTGAGGAGATTATTTCCTGTGCTCCTCCACTCTTTCCTTTCCTGGGCCTTCTAGGGAAAATATCATACCCACTGTTAGAATGTTAGTGGCTGATCAGCAACCTGGAGGAATATGTATTGAATGATCTTTGTTTAAGAAATGCTTAGTGATTTCTGGGTCTCAGTAGTTTAAAGACAGTATTAGAATAGATACAAGCAGGTATTAAAGAAAATTCCATTTGCTTAAAAGGATAGTTTTGGAAATTAGGATATGATTTCAGAGGAGAATCCCCAGGAGACATAAAAAGATCTCAAAAAGATGAAGGCATATGAATATATACTTGTAGGTATATTAGAAAGTGATTCATTGACTGATGGTCAGGTGTGTTTTTTATTTGACAGTTATTCTCTTTTCTAGAAAGCTGAGTTAAGCCCTTAAGTACGATGCATATATATGTGTATATATATGTACATATATATACATATGTGTACACACATATATACATACAGTACAAAATATACAATTGCTTCTATGACCAAATGTGCACATATAACCAAGGTCTTTTTGATTCAATGAACAATAAAAAAAAAACTAAAAAAAAGAGCCATTAATTAGATTACACCATTTTTTTTGTTATCCTTTATAAACTGTATAACCATTCCCATTTTAAAGATGGGAGAACGTAGAAGAATTTGGTTTCTATTAGTAGCCAATTCATGTTGAGTAGTAAAGGAAGATGGAAAAGTAAAGACAGAACTGGCTTTTGAACTTAGTTGATTCTGGCATCTATCATAGTGGATATGAGAAACATGGAGAGTTTGCTAAGCGTGGAGTCTGGAGGTAATGGAGCAGGCTTGTAAACTCACAGCAGATATTTGTACTGTTCCCAGGGGAGGAAGGGCAAAGAGGGATGGGAGATGAAAGATAGTGCCCCATCACAAGTCCAACTTCCACAAGTTGGTTATAATTGCTCATGGTAATCTCCTCTTTAGGTCACTTTCAGCTTGGAGACTCTAGATCATGTATACAGGAAACGCAAATAAGAGGCGACATCCTCTTGATGTCTAGAACAATTGTGCCACCATATATTTGACCATCACAATGATACTTGTCCTATCTTCTCACTTTCATATCACTGTGTCTAGTAAATGGGGAATGGTTCCTCTGGACAACTTCAGCCCCCATTAGTACGGAATGAAGAACTCTAAAAGGAATTCCGACTTTGTTGAGTGAAACTTTCCCCTTTAGCAAATGCCAAAATTCTGATGATCCTGGCACTGGAGTTTTGAGCTGTGTCAAGGTACAAGGGGTTTGGCTTATGTCAAAGAATCCATTGATTCCTGGAGAAATAGAAAAAAAATCACTTTTTTAAAAAAATGAACAAATCAGTATTTTCTTTAGAGAGGAAAACTTAGATTTTGGCTAATTTATTTATGTGTCTACATTGATGTGCTTTTTTTCCCCTGACAAGTATAGTTCCCTGACTGATGCTTTGGTTCACCCTGTTTTCAAATATATGGTAGAAGGTGACAAACCTGTCAGTTTTACCTTTGCATTCTAGACTGAGGCAACTTCACGTACACAAGCAAAGAGAGACTAGCAGAGGGACCCACTGAGGAACTGTGCTAGCAGATGTGATTTAACTTTTATTTCTTTGCTCATTTTGAACACAGATTCAAAGGCTGTAGGCCATGGAAACTTTTGAGAAACAATTAACTGGAAAAAATGTTTAACTGATAGACTGCCTTGAGGCAGTAATTTTTTTTAAAAATAAGAGCTTTTTGAAAGATAATTTTTCTTTGGTTTATTTTTGTTTCCCTTCCTCTTTGAGTCTGGCTTTAAAAACTAACTAAAATTATGTACACAATGCTGGGAGATATTATTCTTTTTCTTCTTGCTTTGTTAGCTTTTTGCAAAGAGTATTTCTAATACTTCACCTTAGCTGCTCTTCTGGCCTGCTGACAAGGCTCAGTGACTGCAACATGCTTTATCTCTTCCCTTATTATTGTGAAGAAATCTAAGGGCAACTCTTCAATGCTTTTCCATGGAAGTTAATGATCACTACTCCTCTATCTCATTTTATAAATAAACTGTGTACCACGATTTTGTTACACGAAGGGGTCTGATAGATAACTTTAGGATCCAGGACCTTGGAAAGTCACTCAATCACTCTCCCTTCCGCTCCTCATACTTAAAAAAATAGTTTACGCTTTATTGTTTTCATTCTGTGCTTATTTTTATTTTCTTCCTTTTCCTCAGTTCCTTTTTTAAGACTATCAGGGACATTGCCAGATATTTCTTGATTTAGGTAAGAGGGGGCAGTGGTTGGGAGGAAATGGACTAAGAAGAGACAGAAGATTCCTTGAACACTGGTGTCAATGGAAAGTCATGGTCAATGTTGCTACTTTCTTAAAAGATGAGTCCCAGGATGTCCAGTCATTATGAAACAAATCATCTATCTCATGATACTCTTTCCAGATAGAATTTGACATGAGCTCTAAGGTAAGCTATTAGGATAGAATTTGCAAGTCCTACATTAGCCTAGACTCCTACCAATATTGCAAAACCCAATATTTAAGAAAACCTAGCAAATGGTAGTTACATCCAGGCATTAGGCCAATCTCCCTTCAATTACAGAGCAACAAAATTCCAAAAGCTAATTCTTATTTTGCCTTAAGCATCCATGGGGCTGCACATACTTTTTGTATCCTGGTTGTACTTATAAAAATCATGGTTTTGTGCACAGTTTAGAGAAAAGACAGGATGGCTGAACACAATTGACTAATTTTATGAATGGATTCAATCTTCAAACATGCAAAGAACAGCATTTTTTATGGATTAATTTGGCACATGGGCTGCTGCTGTAAACATGTCAATTAAATTTTGGTACTTGAAATCTCTTTCATGTTTTAATTAAAACATAAGTGCCGTGGCTTATTATCACAGTTTGGCAGAAAGAATGAACTTATTCAATTTTTCCTGCTGGAAAATGCAATACTATTTTTTGGCCTTCCTCATAATGAGATCTAAGAACGACTGCACAAAAAGGAATCAGGAATTGGTGTTTCTACTAATGCACACAGAGTTGTCTTTCTTTTAGGAAAAGGCTTCCACTGGAGGGAATTTCTGGAATCTTCCATTCCTTGTCTCTGATCTTTGTAAAGAATAGATCTTTCAAAGTTCTTGGCCAAAGATTCCATTGTTTCTTACTAACATTCTCCCTGGATGACATTATTCTTTGTCTACAACAGAATTCCATTATTTAGCTTATAGGAGTTGCTAAATAAATTTTTCTTGTTTAGATTGCTCATAAATTTACTAAATCCAAGAAGCTACTGCATTATTTTACTACCAAGTTATTGCTTAGTTCCATGAATTCATTATTTAGGACTTTGTAAATCCAATTTGCTTTGGTACCTAAGGATTCTATAGAAACAAAGTTAATTATACCCTATAATTATGATAAAGATAGTTGAGTAAAAAATCATGACAAGTAATCTGATAAAGAGCATTGTAGACACCTGAAAAATAGTAAGAAATAGCTTGACTTGCTAGAATATTTTGATTCTTTGTGTGGACATTAAATAAAATATTTGGTTAAGTTCATTTCTTTAAAATCTGGATTACAAAATAGAATACTAGAATCTCATTTTATTATAATCTATCTTTTAAGCAATAATTTTTAATATAATGGATTATCATATATATATATATATATATATATTTATATATATGTATCAGTCAAGGTAATGAAGCTATTGGGTGGTCCTTTTATTTTTAAATAAAGTACATGTAGAAGCTGAGCATTTACAGAAATGTGCTTGCTGGGGCCAGAAAGCTGTTAGAATTTCAAATGAAACCCTGACTTCATTTTGCAGATGTAATTACTAGATCCCATTTTCTCTCTGGGCATAATATATCTTTTAAATTTGCAAGGATTTTACAGTCAGTGTTTAATTCAGTATATAAGAAGAACTGTGGTTTAAAATTTCAGGCCAAAATAAACAAATACTTCGGATATTGGAAGACAAAACACCAAGAAATGCCTTCCATCTTTTTTTAGATATCACAAAAACATGACACGAAAACTTACAGAATGAAATGATATCAAGCACATATATTCTCCAGGGGATGTTGGAACATGCTGAGATGG